AAGATGCCGTCATATACAGTGATCATTTACATTCATTTAAATCACTGCAAAACTTAATTCAGTTTGATTTAATTGTACCCCCCCCCGAATTTTAACAAAGCATCACTAAAATTTCATTGGTTTCCATGGGTCATGTTCCCAAAATCATTGAAAACGCCTTGATGTACTAATATACACAACTGTATTTCATTAGTTTTATATTCCACGAATTTGAACATTGCTTTCTATACATTTATAGTATCTTTTAGATTGGATGGTTTTGAAACATTTTTACAAAGGTAAAGTGTCAACTCGAAAGTTTAAGAATACATAAATCTTTATTCATACTTTGCAACGTTATTGTTATTTTACTACTTGTAAGACTCTTTTGATTCAAATGCTAAACACGAAACGGTTGAAATTCTACATTAAATTTTGATTTGTTCATTAGAAATTTCTTGTTAGTAATATTGCTCTTTATATTGTTTTTTAGTTATAAAGACCAACAGGTGGTGAAAAGAAAAAGAAGAAAGGTGACATCAACCCCAGCACCAGCTCATGGCAGTGAGGGATCTGGGTGGTCAAGTGTTGGCTTATCATCTGTGAAGTCTGTCGGGTAATATTATTTAACATAATTATAAAGCATTTAAATAATTTGCAAATACCAAGATTGTTTGCATGTCATCTGTAAGTGTTAGGGAGCTCTTGGTATATGTGTATGTGTAAGCCAGGTTATTATACTTTAGATGTTTATGTTTAGGATAAAATTGTAACAAGGTGAGGAAAAAAGAGCAGACTGATCAGTACTTGAACCCAAGTGTCTTTGACTACCATTCAGCAGCCTTTCATAGCAACTGAGCTATTTGGCCGCTAACACATTTTAAACCCTGACAAATACCCTGTTATATTAGAAATTAATTCTTGAGTTTTCAAAGATACAAAGCAATGTAAATGAAATTATTAAAATTTACAATGTGCTGTTAAATCTACACTGTTCAGTCGGGGTCCTTATTAGGTTCCAAAATGGCTTAGTCTGTGTTAGAAAAAATGTGCAGCCTGCATGGAACTTGAAAAATAGACCCTTGAACTACTGATCTATTGTTGTAACGATTGAGTTATTCAGAATATTTCAACTGTGAATAATCAAACTGATTTCTTTACATTTGCATTCTCCCTTTTATACTTACAAGTATAATTTTTATGAGTATTTTTTCATGTTTATCAATACAGTTCTGGCATGATGTCTGGTGTTGAACCAATGACAGACTCCTCTGAATCATCACCATCCCGTCGAACAAAAAGGTAATTAATTTTAACTCAACTTTTTAAGATTAGGGAAAGCAGACATGTAGTCAACTAAAAGTCTTCCAATGGATCACATTTATCCTGAATTCTTTACAGCTGGCCCCTTGTTCACAAAAATTTAAGGATCAGGATCAAATTTAAAAACTCTAATATTCTTTATTGTTTATCTTCATAGATTAAATATACTGATTTGATAAAACTTGACTTGCAATAGCATGTGTATGAAATTTTAGAATAAATTAAATGTTATTTGGCATTTTACAGTTGATCAAAATTGTTCCTTATTATCCCCTGCCAAAAAGGCGGCGGGGGATATAGAAATAGTCTCCGTCCGTCCAGACTTTCGTCCGTCCGTCCTCCCGTCCGACATTTTTGTCCGGAGCATATCTCAAAAAATATTTGAGGTATCAACTTGAAACTTCAGAGGTAAATAGACCTCATGAAGGAGGAGTGCAGTGCACAAGAATGATAACTCTACCCTGCATAGTTTTTAGTAATTGCCCTTTGTTATTTTTCAAAATTAATTTTTGTCCAGAACATAACTCAAAAAGCCTTTGAGATATCAACATGAAACTTCATAGGTGCATAGATCTCACTCAGGAAGTGTGCAGTGCACAAGAATGATAATTCTAACTTCAATAATTTCTGAGTTATTGCCCTTTGTTATTTTTCATACTTAATTTTTTACCTGAGTGGAGCATAACTCAAAAGTGTGTGAGATGTCAACATGAAATGTCATAGGTGGATAGATCTTGTTGAGGAGAAATGCTGTGCGCAATTATAATGATAACTCTTCGCTATATAATTTTTGAGTGATTGCTCTTTGTTCTTTTTCATACTATTTTGTCCGGAGCTGATCTCATAAAGTATTTGAGGTATTAATTTGAAACTTAAAGGGTGGACGGATCTCATAGAGGAGGAGTGCAGTGCGCAAGAATGATAACTCTTCTCTATATAATGTTTGATTTATTGCCCTTTGCTATTTTTCAAAATTAATTTTATGTTGTTTGGAAGGATTCTGTGAATTTTGATTTTTTTATTACATTTTAATCATTCAAACATTTTGTAATTTTACCAATAATTCAATATCAATATCTTAAGGACGCTTGATTTCATCACCTTTAAGTAAGTATACCAATCACTTCATTTTTATTTGTTATCCTATTTTTTAATTTGTTTTATGAATTCATGAAGTTGAAATCGTGAATATACGAAGATGAATTCGTGAAGTTGAAATCGTGAATTCATGAAGTTAAAATCGTGTATTCGTGAAGTTGAAATAGTGAATTCGTGAAGTTACAATCGTGAATTCATGAAGTTGAAATCGTAAATTCGTAAATTGAAATCATGAATTCATGAAGCTGAAATCGTGAATTCATGAATTCCGTATGTTGAAAACGTGAATTCACGAAGTTAAATATGTGAATTCATGAAGATGTAATAGGGAATTCATGAAGTCGAAATGACCTTACCGGTCTTTCGTATATAAATGAAGAACTTTCTTATATCAATATTACTGTACAAAAAATGAGCAATAATATAAGAAAATAGCATTTAGTTTAATACAGAATTCATTTTGATTTGATTGTGCTGGAAGCTTCAGTTTATTCAAACACTGTCGAATCCGTTCTCGGAACCAACTAGGATCTAAGGTTATAAAGAAATTCTCTGATCTCAAACTCAGATCTCAAATATTTGATTAGTCAGCAACTTCAAAAATCCTGAGATGAGATACAGAACTCAGAAAAGAAAACAAAACAACAGTTTTATGACATCAAGGCTAACAATGACAGGTTGGTGATTTGAAACAGATCACGATATCACTGTAAGACATAGAAGGATGTTAAAATACACAGAGACACTTGAAGGTTAGGACCTGCCCCCCACCCATCCCTCTTCATACATGATGCGCCCCTATAAATATTCTATCAAAAATCTTATATTTAAACACAAATATACATCTGTTGCAACGATAAAACTGCTTTTTAAACAATTTTTTGGATTATTTTCCCATAATATAAAAAATACCTTTAAACATCGAATCTTAATTAAGTAAAAATTGCAGACTCCAAAAAGTGTTTAAGATAGAATATTTACAGGAGCGTATCACATTGGGCAGCATCTGATCCCCGAACGTCTTTGAATATACGTACTAAATAGATGAGATACTTTTTTAATCTTCAGAAGGAATCGCCCATGTGCCAGTCAAATGAAAGGTTACTTTTTATCATTTTTGTTATTAATAAAAAAATTACTACATGAGTAACAAAGCAAGAAGCTCAATAAAGTGTTTTCATCGCATACCTCTTTCATAAACTGTTACATTATTTCAAGGTTTTCTGAAACATTTTATAATACTAGAAACGATATATCCTTTATTTTTTAACCTTCAATTAAACCTTTGTTAGACGCCACCGGCACGCGGCGGCTAGTAAATATGCATACGTCTATTCAGCGATGGGGAAATTTTAATCTTTTATTTTTTTTAACACTGTTTTCATATTACCTAGTAAAAATAGCTTTTCTGATGAACAACATGTCACCGAGCTTTAAGAAATCAAAAATAAACGATTAACTGAAGCGATAGTGGCATGTTTAAATATCATATTCTTTTTATTTTTATCTTTTTTATTTACCTGATAAATAACGTGTCGTTGAGCCAGTCATTATTCTAATGACGGGAACCAAATACGGACAAGGGAACAAGCAATCGGAACGTCCTCGGCTATTATCTATAATAACCTTGGAAAGTAGTTATACCACGTGGTTTCAGATGTAAAAAAACAGAGTTTGCAATGTAAAACGAATGTCTTTACTTGACATTCAAAGGAAATAATATGTTTCGGCACAATTATGATTGAAAATATGTCTAACAACACCTTTTAACTAAAAATGCCCACTGATGTACAATTTTAAACAAATTCCGACTTAATGTCAACATATATAAATATATCACCTTTAAGTAAGCATACCAATCATTTCATTTTTATTTGTTTTTTCATTTTTATTTATTAATTATTTTTTTTGCTTCCACCAGACCTTTCAATCTTTGTGACAACAGACAAACATTTCAGAATTTCAAACATGGCATTACTTTGTGAATTTATACATTGGATTCTATTTTTTTCCACAAAAGTATGCAACTTTATTATTAAAAAACGGGCATACACCAAGAACATGGAGATAAATTGATTAGTGCTTCGGATATTCAACTGTGAAAGAGAACAATAATTGTCAAGGCAGATCCTTTACAATACCAGTGACTGTTCACATCATTGGGTGGCAACTTTGATGGGCAGTATCAACATTTAACTTGTAGTTTAACTGTAATATTATGTCATCTTTCGAATGAAGATGGAAAAGGAAATTTCGACTTGTAGAAATCATCCAACATTTTGATAATCTTTTTTGCAGAAGGACGGTTGTGCTCGATGTCGTCGTTAAAGCAATAAAACTTACTGAAAAATAAATTAAAGAAGACATATTTCCGTTAATAATTTGCCTGTTTGTTTCTTTAAAAGAAAATGCATCATGTTCTTGGAATATTTATTTCCTACTGCTTAAGAAACTTAATTATATTTGATTGTCAACTCATTCCATAAACAGGAGATGAATTTACCAGAGACATGCATGTTCATTCGCCTTGTTTTGTAGTCGGTAAAATTATTTACAGCACGAACATGAGTAAAATTAAAGTAAATTTTACAAATTTACATTTACCTTTTAAGACTTTTAAGCGATAAGAATTCTTCTCTAGTCTTTCTTACATCGCTAGTTATTGCCACGAACGTAATTGCTTCATGGTTTACAAACGTTTCATATCTAAAAAAAAAAAACATAAAAAAGATAAAAATCTAAAAATCTATATGTTTAAAATTATTTATTTTCTTGGTTTGTGAAAAAAAAACAAAAAAAACAACAACTTACTATACTTTAGACTTCTGCAATGAAATAAAAGCCAAATCCTCAAGGAAAATGAAAAAGAAATCTGGTCCGAAACTTGAGCTCTTCATATTTTTTAACCAAGCTCACCGAATGAATTTTCCCATCTTGACAAAAAGTCTTAAAGTATGTTAGCAATTAATTATTCACAATTACGACCATCCCGCAATTTTGACCAATCCCGATGGTGGTCTTAATTGAGTATTTTTAGTGTATTTTAATAGATCTAATAATGTTAATCATCTGCCAATTACGTGAACCATCTTTTTCATCTGTTGCGTTTTTGGCAATAAGTACAGTTATGGTGATTCTGTATGGAAGTGAAAATACTACTTTGTTTACGTTTTGCTACTTGTATTACTCATGATTTCACATTTATCGATATTTTCTTCAGAATACAAGCATCTAACATGCTCTAGAACCATTATTTAAAACATTATAAAATTCATGTTTGTCCTTTCTAAAGAAGTAAAAATTTATTTGTTTCTGAAGGATAATCTGCCTTTAAAGGTTTACCTTGAGTGATTATGAGCCTCCATCAGAAAATTCATGTAGGAAAATCCAATTTGTAAATCAAACGGATTTCGAACTGCTTGTCTGCATGTCTGTTTGATTTCAGTAGGAAATCTGTAATAATAAACGTTAATGTAACTACGTTACTTTTTAGCTCGACTATTCGATAAGAATAAGTAGAGCTATTGCAGTCACCCGAGCGTCGGCGTCGGCGTCGCCGTCCGCGTCGGCGTCGGCGTCGGCGTAACGACATATGTTAAAGTTTTTGTAATAGTTCAAATATTTTCAAAGTCCATAGACATATGGCTTTGAAACTTTGCACACTTGTTCACCATCATGACCCCAACCTGTAAACAGGAGGAGGTAACTGTATCAAGCATTTTTTTTACTATCAAGCACTAAGAATAGTCGAGCGTTGCTGTCCTACCGACAGCTCTTGTTGAAAATGTAAATAACTCTATCAAGGTAACTCTATCAAGCATTTTGACAGAATTATGCCCCTTTTTCGACTTAGAATTTACGTTAAAGTTTTTGTAATAGTTCAAATATTTTCAAAGTCCATTAACATATGGCTTTGAAACTTTGCACACTTGTTCACCATTATGACCCCAACCTGTAGACAAAAGGAGGTAACTCTATCAAGCATTTTGACAGAATTATGCCCCTTTTTCGACTTAGAATTTACGTTAAAGTTTTTGTAATAGTTCAAATATTTTCAAAGTCCATTGACATATGGCTTTGAAACTTTGCACACTTGTTCAACATCATGACCCCAACCTGTAAACAGGAGGAGGTAACTGTATCAAGCATTTTTTTTTACTATCAAGCACTAAGAATAGTCGAGCGTTGCTGTCCTACCGACAGCTCTTGTTGAAAATGTAAATAACTAAACTTTATATAATACAATTACAATGTTCGACAGAGAAATAACTCATAAATAATCTTAATTTGCAGAAATAAATATTCAAAAGGACAGTACTTCTGCAATAAGGTTAAGTTCAAAGAATGCAAAGCCATATACTAATATAAACAGTTTAAGTGCTATACACAATTTGTAAAAAATAAAGACGGACTAATCTATTGTAAATATGGTCGCAAGCTGAAATGATTCTATCTTTCTTGTAACATTTAAACTGGAACCGCGAAGCCGGCCCGGGCTTTGATTTGTCTGGCTTTAGACTAAACGTTATTTTTTAAAAAGGAATCAAATAAAAAAAGCAATTAAAAGTATAAAGAATTCTATATTTATCAGTGAAATGTTAATTGTCATTTCTAGTTTGGCGCCGCTATCTTTAATGTAATCCGAGGATAATCAGCGTAATATTCCGATAACAGAACAATCTGAAGAATAATCGTTGAGGTGTTTCGATAACGAAACATGTAAAATTTAACTTTTTTATATGACTTCCCCGAGCACAGGCTTTGTCTACTTTCATATTATTATCAAAGTTATAAAAATCAATGCATGTCAAGGTGAGATTTAAAAAGTATAAAATTTAAATTGTAAATAATCTAGATTAAACTGTACCTGTTTAACATCCGTAGGTTTATACTTTTTTCAATGAACAAAGGTGCGTGTAGATTATATCGTCTTTGTTTGTATCCAAATGCTTTGTTGAAAACGGCATTTGTATAAAATATGGATATGTCATGGTCGCTGTGGGCGTCGTCTGTATCTTTTGGTCGAGAACGTTCTGCTGTGACGTCACAGTCGCCGCCGTCCCAGACACAGTGATCAAAATTACAAGCCCAATCACACACATCGTTTCTTATCATCTGGATACTACATGTGGCGCTGCATTTCAATGGCGTAAGCTCTCCTTGATATATCTTTGTAATATAAACAAAAATATAATAACGAAACATATATTTATACATAAATAATCAATTATGTGGTAATTGTCTTATATCACATGAAATAGTTGGCTGATATTTAATCACAAAATTTAATGTATTATTGACTAACCAGAGTCATGCATTAAAAAATATTATATGTCCGTATCACGTGAAATTTACGTGCAGGCAAACTTACTTTAGTGCGATCGGACGTGTACACGTGTAAAGAGGTGCCGTTTTAGTAAATTTCGCAAAGAGGATAACTTCTGCGCCGGGTATGACAAATTTAATTTTGTAAATACGTACTAACAAATTTTAACCGGCTAAGTGTTTTAAATTGATTTTGTTAACTATTAACTTTTTACCAGAATGATTAACAGTGAAGAAAATGTGTTACGATTCACTTGAAATACTGAAATCCTATTGGACAAAAAATAATTTCAAACACTAATTCATATAAAGACGTTATTAAGAAAAAAAAATAAACGTTCAACAACAATGTATTACATAATGAAAAAGCAATTATAATATTAAAGGAGAAGACCCATATCAGATAAGTGTGTTTCGAAATAAAAATGTACTGAAGACTAAATTATATTTTCATATTTTTGGCGCCAAAATTACCTTTGTTCCTTTCTCCTCTGTATAAAAGTCATCAAGAGAGGTGTGAAGCCCAAAGAAAATGTCATCATTCAAGTAAATAAACTTCTCGGAAAGTCCCGCGATTTTATGTAAATTATGCTCTATAGCGGTGGAGGAAAACGTTGGAAGGTAATCGATATTATCAAAAATTTCCTGAAATTCAAAGTGCAATGGTCTGTAATGGAAGAACTTAAATACAACAAATAAGTACGTTGATAGTTGTATAGTATCGGACATAATAAGAATACAACTAATAACGAACTATTTATATTGTATGCATTTCTGATGTTGGTCGCAAGTGCGAGATACATGGTCCAATATTACTGTATCTATTTTGTAGATAATAAAATGTTCTAGAACAAATATTATAATTCATCATATAAATGATCATACTAAATCACTTAGAACTTATCAACAGTTTAAAGAAAACAATATTTAATAGGATAATAGAAATGATACATTTCTCCTTTTTATCAATTTTTATGGAAAATGTGCAACTGAAATATTATTACAGGTATATTATTGTTCATATTAAAGTGTCACATAAAAGTTGATAATAACATTTTTCAAAATCACTATAAAGAAACTTCATTTTTGCCGTCATTTTTAATGTGTTCATATTGTGGCACTCCCCTTAAATGGGTGTATATCGTCATGACCAAATAGTTCCCATCCTAATTTCAACTGAAACAATACTAGTTAAAACAAGTAGTATCTTTAAAAAAAAACGCTCAGCCGTACGAGTATATGTTATTTCTGTTTTCCATACATATATAAATGTTAGCAGTACTTGCATAACAACGACATGATAATTTCTTGTAGGGTTATTAAACTTGAAAATGGAACACTACAATATGTATGTGTTCTAAAAGGAATCTGTCGTGTTTTGGTTTGAAAAAAATTTCTAATACCAACATATGCAGTCGGTTAACAATTGTATTTATTAATACTTGATTAATATGCAAACAATATATGAAAATTATAAACATTATATCACTTGAACACATCAATGATCATATGAAATATTTATCATTTATTGATAGCGGTGTTAAACGGGTACGGTCAATTTTTAGCTAAAAACCGGTTAGAAAATTCAATATCCGGTAATCGATGTTAATATTTTACAAAGGAGCGAAAAAGTTTAAAATTGATTCTAAATATTTATATAGTTTTTTTTATAATATGACAATTGTTTGCATTTTAGATTTACTCAACAATGAATTTTTTTCCGATCTGATCGAATACGGTACGACCCTACTGCATATTCGGATATGTATTGTAATCATTTTGCGTACAAGAAAATATGAACAAAATGGCATATCTTGTCATAAAGAAACAAAGTTAATGTTGAAAATCTTAGGAATTTATTAGTATGTACGGTTAAACGTTTAATACGGTTATTACGTTTTTAGACGGTTGGCATTTTCTGTAACCGTGACACTCCAGTTCTTCTATAAAATAAACTGTTTACTAGAAAATGTAATTAGATCTAAACGCAGCTTACAATGTTATGCGGGAAGAAGTATGGTTAAACAGAACCTAAATGTCTGTGCAAATTAGATACCTTATACATTTTATTCTAAAACCAACCTTTGAATTTTATTTTAGAATGGTCAATGAGATTCCCAGATTTCAGTTTGTAATTTTAAAATGACCAATGAAAATACTTCTTATATTCAGCTATTCTATGTAATTTTACAAGAACTGACACTGGTTTTAAAATGCCTCCGGCTTGAAAACGACAAGGTAATGATTTTTAAGAATTGGTTTGTTCCATACTGATGAATGTAAGGAACGTGTGTGTGATTTAAGTACGAAAGACCAGTGGGGACATTTCAACTTCATAAATTCCCGATTTCATCTTCGTGAATTCACAATTTCAACATTCGAAATTCTCGAATACACGATTTCAACTTCATGAATTCACAATTTCAACTTCAGAAATTCAACTTTACGAATTCAAGGTTTTTAGTTCACCATTTCAGCTCGGTGAATTTCAGCTTTGTGATCTCACGATTTCAACTTCACGAACTCAATATTGCAACTACACGAATTCAAGATTTCAACATCATGATTATAGTTTCATTAATTCATGTTTTCATGTTTCACGTTTTTCACGATTTCAACTGCACGAATTCAAGATTTCATCTCCACGAAGTTGAAATCTTGAATTCTTGAAGCTGAAAACGTTAATTCACGAAGCTGAAATCGTAAATTCGTGAATTTTGTTGATTGAAATTGGGAAGTCATGAAGTCGAAATTGTGAATCCGTAATGATTAACGCCAGAATTCAAGAAGTTAAAATGTCACCACTTGTCTTTCAATTTGAAGTCACTTACCTTATGTGTTACTACAGTTACTCTCGGATTCCTTAAATCCAACCAATTCGGTACCTGACCGTTAGTTACTATAAACACGTGACGTATCCAATTTGCATACTTTTCCAAGGACCGAAGTGAATATCTCAAGCCGCCATTATCAGCAAAGCGCTGATATTTAATGTTTCTAGCCCTGTAAAGTGAAATTTTTATTGTCTGCCACTAGAAAGTCTAAAAAAACGCAACATTATATTTGAGAATTTCTTGTTGTTTTTGATAATGTAGTTGTTGATGATGATGTTGTTGTTGTTGTTTATGATGATGATGATGATGATGATATTGATGCTGTTGTTGTTGCTGTTGTTGTTGTTGTTGTTGTTGTTGTTGTTGTTTAAAAAACGTTGATGATTATGATTATGATGATGATGACGATGATGACGATGACGACGATGATGATGATGATGATGAAAATAAAGCTTCATTTAAATAGACGAAATGTGTAATAAGAGCAAAAAATGGATTCCATTTTATTAATGTACAGAATATATGACATCCGGATTGAAAGAAATCATTTCTATTATTGTCATTCTGGTAATTAAAGAATAGATATATGTAAACAAACCTCCTTGTCGGAGAAATAAGGCAATTTGTGAAGCATTACCTATATTGGACCTTGACAAGTCGACCAAATTGTTTTCCGAATTGTAATTTAAAGACCCATTATGCATCACAATTGCAATCATTTTTATTTCTCAAAACCATTTTTTTTAATCGTGTAACAGTTTCCAAAATACTTAATCATTTTCCATATAGATGCACTATGTTTGTTTCTGTTACTCTGTTACTCTGACAATATTTGGTATAATTATATTGAATTTTATAAGTATTTTGAACGAAGTTAAAATACAATATTGCTTTCATTTTACTACCTTTATGACACATAACTGCATGTTCAGCGCTATTTTCTCGTGTTGTTTAACATCTAAAAAGCTCAAAATCCATAAGTTAAACATAATAAAGAACATTTTGACATTTCTAAAGAAAAATATTAATGTGGCTTTAGTACAGCGTGTTACTTGGAATCCAACTGGCTGATCACTTGCTTATATATAGACTTGCACAGGAAAACCTTTAATATCCGTAATGTTACAATCCAAAAGGCGTAGTATTTAAAAATTTGAATATTCTTACATAGCCTGTTGGACTTCTTTAAAACTTGACCATGTATTCATTAATGGGCCCCTCCAAATTTCTCTACATAAATTATACCAACTAAAGCTGAAAAATGAGGAGTGTCTCCATAATGTATTGAAAAAAAAATACTATTTGCTTAAAGATGACCGCTTTGATTTACAAAGTGATGGATTCAGGTTTGATTCCTTGCCATGCACATTATACAAATACGTATACAAACCTGGCTGCTGTGAGTAAGTTTAATCGTGACAGTTCTGCCCTCAATCGTGCTAGCGTGTCCCTGTGGTCCGTGTCGGAACCATTCACCCATGTATAAACTACATCGACAGGGAAAGTTGTACTGGCAAACAACCAAAACATCATAATGCTAAAACTGACCTTTAAAGCTTTTATAATAAATTCATAATTGTTTGACCTTAAATATATGTTCTTGTATAGAACAGAATAGAAGAAAATCTTCATTTGTAGACTTGAGCTCTTATCGTCCGGTAAGGTGCAGGTCACTTTCGTAGTGATTGATCATGAAATCCTTTCTACGGTTAATGCACTGTATCTTTGCTGTAGTGAAGGCAACTAGTACTGGTAAACTGCATCACAACTGCCCAAGAACAATGCGGTGCCTGAACTGTGCTCTGGTAAATTCAATGTGGCTTACTGCCATGATGAGGAATAAAAACTACCAACACCATCACCACAAGTCAGGTCAGTTATATAGCATGTTTACATGAGCGACGGAAGGGACGGACTGAATTATCAATGTTAAAGAACTTGCGTTTCGAATTATAACTTATCTTACACCGTAAAATCAAGTCGAATAATGCTAATATCACATCAGGCTATTTCCGTTAATTAATTTCTAGCCAGGAACGGGTGTACAGGTCTTTCTTCGTTAAATCATCCCTTCATTAACCTTTGAAAAGTCATATATTATATTCAAACTAAATAGTTTTATCTCTTCAACAACAAATATTTGAAAAGTTAATAAACACTTACTTGTACTTCCAACCTGGCATGGTCTCACTAACTCTTAGCTGATCTACTTGTGAAGAAGAAGAAATACAATGCTGAAAGTATAAAATTAGGTTAACATGAGATATCGCGTTTTATTAACCTTGGAAAATACATCATCTATCAGATGTATATCTTAATACGGAAAATTTGAAAGAACTTAAATATCTGCAAGAATATTTTTAATAGGACTCCACTGATATGTTTCGACATAATAAACCTGGAAATATCGTTCCGAGAGTTGTGTACATGTGTCATTTGATGTCGGTCTGGATCAATAACTTGTGCTTAGATTTACAGATCATTCGCTCACCCCCTTTTACCAGAAAAATTCATTTTATTGTTCAAAATGACCCAAAAATGAAATGCATTGCAACATCTATTACTCAATTCGCACAAAATTCGATTTTCAATTAAGTCTTTAAGTCTTTTTATAATTTTCACTCGTGATTAACGAGTTTGTTAATAATGTGTATTAAATCTTTCAAACTATTATTCAGATTACTTTTATTTCGATAGCTTTTAAATAATAAAGAATGATTCTCTTACCTTCATTAAGGTCATCATTGTCAGCAAACATATCAATATTCCAACGACTAGAATAAACTTGTTATTCGTCTTCAACATCATTCATACATTATATACATAAAATTATTATTAAATAATAACTATTACTTTTCCACTAAATTGATTCTCTTAAAGTTATAAAGATGTAGAGAATCATATTTCATGGAAATTGACTTTAATATGTGACTATCATTGGATTCATGACTATTTAATACCTCATGCACTTGTGTATTTCAGTGCCTGAAGAAATCGTTTAATATATGATTGTCCGTTTAAACCTTGTGAGTGATCTTGCTCGCATTTTAAGACGCGAAGTTTAACTAGTGTTGAAGTATTTTCACACTTCATGCGCATGTCTAGTGTATTTAAAATGTAATAAACGTCACTGTATAAGTTGTACAGCGGCTGCCCGAGGTCAGTCCAGTTTAATAGCAAATAAAATGCTAATATATTTCATAAATAACCACTTTTTTTTCTTAATGTATCGACACGATATTTCTTTTCCTTCAACATAGCAAAATGCCTATAAAAGAATGAAATTCTACTTTTTCATTTTTTTATATTGTACGAGGGGTGTTCAAATATAAATGCAACTAGGCCAATATCTCGCTTTTTAACCACGTTTTGCACGAACTATGTACATGTATCGCATAAATTGTGGTGTATACAATACCTGTGTAAATCAGTTCAGTAGCTTTGACCATAGCTCGATATACTCGGGTATACTAAAGCTAAAATGGTTTGGAAAAGGTATCCTTTTACTGACCAAATACGGTCTTATATCAAGAACCGCTGTTTTCTTGGTATAAAGACGAAAGACGTATTTTATGAAATACATTATGTCGTGTTTATAGGAACAATAAACTTCCTTTTTCATCTGTCACACGGTGTAAGAACTTTTAAAGTGATGTGGATTCAGTGAAAGAACACCTCATACACGCCGTCCGAAAACTGCAAATGCTAAAAGTTTTAAAAAAAAAGTATTTGATTGCTACTGGTGCAAAATTTAGAACTAGGTTTATAGCTAAATGCGTTGATATCTTTGTAGGAGAAGCTCATACAATTCTCAGACGACAATGCTACGTCACACAAAGCGCCCATTGTACGAGAATATCTGAAACAGGAAAAGGTTGTCGAGCTTCCTTACCCCCCCCCCCCCCACCCTCTTATTTGCCAGAAATTGCCCTTTGTGACTTTTTTCTATTTCCAAGGCTCAAAAAAGAAAAAATCAAACACGAAAAATCTCGGTGTGGTTATTTTCCAGTGTCTGAACAGTATACCTGAAAAGATTGTGAAAACGCATTAAAGACTAAAACTTTGTATATCACATGGCGGCGAGTATTTTGAAGGTTTGACGTAATTATTTTGGCACTATTTGTTAAGCTTTTTTGAAATTGACCCATTTGCATTCATATTTGAACACCTCTCGTATTATAATTACCTTCTATTTTAACTGACGATTTATCTAAGACACACAAAAGATATGGCGTCTTTCCTTCTTATTCTTTTCCTGTCTGTAGGCAAATTCAGGATTTTTTTTCATTTTTTTCCTCAGTTCTGTTTCGATTTATCTCACAGACTGAACATTATCTGCGAAATATCTAACAGAACACCAGCTACGATATATCTTAGTCATCGTTTAAATTCCAGTGTATTTTTATATTAATATCAATTCTTAAAATATATAACAATGTCATTCCAGCATTTAGGTAGATATAGTCCGGCTACACATATGTCAATTATTTCACACGTCACTCAGAATATATCTTGTAACTAGAGAAAGTTTGGCTGAAAGTTTGTCTACACTAACTGAGAAGAAAATGAGAACAAGATCAAACATATAATGCACAGCCCTGACACAGCAGTCATACCGGCAAGACACACAGTATAGCACCGAACCAAACATAAGAAGATCACATCCATTTTTGTTTAAGCAGTTGGTTATATTTGACAGCTATATATATATTATTCATTAACTGTATTTATGAAATAAACTACGGCGCAGAAGTGTAATTAAGCCATTTTATGAAAACGGTATAACAGCAGTGTAATATCTTTGCAGCGTGACATCATTTGCGTAATAGCATAAAGAAAAAAGTTTTAGAACTGTAGACATTGATGAAACGAAAAGTTTTGTCGAGCAGAATAAAGCTATGGCCACTGTCTACAAAAGCTTTAACTCTGTCTGAATGTGTCCGTTTGATAAGATAAGAAGATAAGACTCTCATTACAATTTGCATGTTTGGAAAATTCGATGTTTCATGTTATCTAGTTATGTACATTAACCCCGGCCTAGCTAAATATCTTAAATGAATTTACAGAAATTAACCATATATCATTTAGTTTGGGAAATTTTAAAATACTTAATGACTGAATAGCAAACAGTCTAGACAATGATAATGGTTGGGTAGATTCAGATGCCGACAACGGGGTAAAGATTATGATCAATTATAATTTGGTGACTTTACTATTGAAAACGTGCCACAGTTAAATCGTATATAAATATGCACAGTGCGTTTCAAAACTGGAATGCAGGTGTCTCTGGGGTTTACTTATTTTGATGACAGGGAAAGAGATAACGATACAAAAGTCATATTCAGATGCTCGTACATTGATTACTTCTTTCTGCGGCAACATGGAATGTGTTTTTATGTTGAACTATAATACAAAATACACGGAAAAGAAACAAAAACAATCGGCAAACTTAATTAAAGACCATGGGGCTATGACCCCTCGTACAAATCAGATAGCCTCGTGTTTTGATGCTCTATCAATTACCTTATTAATCGTCATGTAAAGCTTATCATTCGATCGTAAAGATTTCATTACTTTAAACATGGTCCATTTTCATAATCCAGTTTTGATAGAAATTAATAAGATATTTCAGTTTGAATGCTTGTTATTTACACATGAATATTGAGATCATGATATGAAAGGTTAAGATGTCACTAAACAATTTATACAAGCATTAATCTACATGTACATATTTTTTTAGCATTATATTATTATGTTATACCAACACAAGTTTATTTTCCTACTTTACATAAGTGTTTCAGGGTTTAAAATAAATAATTTCTATAACTCTAAATATTTTTCTTCTTATGTTAATATATTTCTTTTCATTTATTCTTATTTTTTTTATTCTTATTTTTTTTTAAACTGTAACAAGATACCAAAAATTAAAAAGGCTTTGAGAAATAAAAAGGATAGCATACATCTATTGATAAACACCTTGCTATCAATAAAAAATATCAAAGACACATCAAGGGTTTATTTAGGAAAAAACACCTTTAAAAAACAAATACAAAAATTACAAGTAAACAAAGAAATCTATGATAGCTCGTTTAGTGTCCCCATTGATTTACAGCTTCCAAACACGCCTTAAAAATATCCCCCTTAATACACTGCTGATTTTAACACCCACTTTCCTTCTTGCATCAACGGTATCACCGCTAGCGCTAATGGTAGTAGTATCAAATAATATTTGAATACAAAACATAATTTAAAAGTTTTCGGGGGCCCGTTTCCCAAACACGCTTCAGATTCCAGGAGTATTTTTTTTAATTTGAATCTTCAAGGGAAAGACAGAACAATAAACCTGAAATGAAAGTCCACATATAACTTAGATCTATTAAAATTTCATATCAAATCATATTGATAAATTCGTTAATATTCTGTAGAATACCCGTCTATAAACCATGTCTGGAAAATATTTTTGATGTCCTCACCTGAAGAGGCTGTGAACTATGCCTAAGAATTTGGCTATATCAATGGTTATTATGCTAGATATGGGGTCATTATTTATAATAATGTAAATTAAGTTCTCAAATGCTGATTGGTTGAAACACTTATACTATGAAGAACCAATACCAATGTATTTCTACATCATAGACGGTTTACTTCATGTGGGCATAGAATATTTTATTTATGGTATATTTTTCGATTCAAATGCCATTACTTTTTAGAAATAGTTGTAAGTTACACCGCAATGATAACTTTATTACTTGGATTACAATTATTGCGCATCGTTAGCGTAGTCGTGGATTGCGTGCGTCTTTATTGAAAAAGGTATGTCAAAATTAGAATCAATGAATACAGAAATGAAATGAGCCGCGTCACGACAAAACCAACATAATGCGTTTGCGGTAAGCATGGATCAAGACCAGCCTGCGCATCCGCGCAGTCTGATCAGGATCCATGCTGTTCGCTTACAAACACTATAACAAATAGAGAAACTGATATCGAACAGCATGGATCCTGATCAGACTGTGCAGATGCGCAGGCTGGCCTGGATCCATGCTGGTCGCAAACCCATTATGTTGGTTTTGTCATGGCGCGCCTCAAATGTGAATAAAACCGCATCCGCATAAATGCTGTAAATACGTCAATCAAACAAAAATTTGACGATGTAGAAAATTCGTGTCAAAGCATGGGTGACTTCTGTGATGAATTCCAATGTTTTTAAAAGTTCATGCAAACTGACACCAAAACAGTTATAATCAAGGTCTGCGTAAGAACCTATTCTCTGATATTATCAGAGAATAGGTTCTTACGCAGACCTTGACTATATCAGATAATCTAATTCCGAAATGTATGATCATTTCACAGAACAGAGATGTAATTCATTTACAAACGATTTAATTTTTACTTGCATCACAGAAACAAATCCATCACTAACGGAAAACTGTATAGACGCCATCAACAGTTTTATCAAGAAAAATATTGAAAATGATTGGTGGTATAGTTCATTGTGTTAGAGAAGCATTAGGTCCATAGAAGCATAATGATATTTATATCAAGTTTTGTGACATGACGGGACTGAGAATAATTTCTCGAAATCAGTGTTCCATTTGTTGAGATCTATATGCATGTGTATAACATTTTAATGTTAATACTTGGTTGTTAACTAACTCCTTCGTTTCCGTACAGTATTCCAGCATGACTTCATTACTTCGCCAGTGTTTAAAAATACATCACCATTCTCGTTAAATCTCTTCAATTCCGACTCACTCTTTCTATTCTTTCTATTTTGGGAACGTGCATTTTATTTAACTTCATCCCAGCTCTATCTGCCGTCCTCGGCAAAACAGCATAAGCATTGAGTGTGTCAACTTTGTCTTTGATGCTTACCATTTTGTCTCTTGGCTTCATACTTTTTATTGACAGTCGTTTTTAAGCACCGCTATCTATTTATTGGTTAAAATACTTAAGCGTCATATATTTCTTGCGCTTCTTTCAAACCAGTTTTGCACAGAAGTTTTATTATACCCTTCCCAAGTTCTCCAAACTGAAAACACTGCCATCAAAGTCATATAATCAGCAAGTAGTGTCAATATTAACATGAAAGGTGCACGGAATGTTACAATATCAGACATACTGAATGCCTGAAATAACGATAATGATGCCACAACGACGCCAGTTAGTGAAACGAAAGCTGAAATGACAACGAAAATTGGAAAATGTGAATAGAATATCAGAATAAAGTATGAGAAAATTGTAAAATTACTTTAATGATTTTTAAATGATAGCAGAATACCCAGAATTAAAACAATTACGGTATATTAAAAAGTAAAAGAATAGAGCATGTGTGAAGCACTGTCCGGTAAACTCATTAGGTAGAGCGTTAAAAAAATTGCCGGACGGTACAGGTCACTTTCGTCACTTTATTGTACCTCTGCTCTTTTATGCACTGAAGTGTCAGTTCCTTGCGAAAGAAGGCTACTTGTATTCATCTGGTAAACTGTTTGACAGCCTGCACAGTAATGATACGGCGGCTGAACTGTGCTCTAGTGAATTTTGCTAAAGCAGATAAATATTTTATTCTGTAAACGTACACTATTCATGTATAAAACTGATATCTTAATAGCAATTATGCATAAATTGCATGCCACTAGATGTGCTCGAATCCATTAAAGTTCTTCTTTTATTTAAAATAGTAAATGTTAAAAAAATGAGACAAAAATGTATCAGAATATATTTAAGTAATTAAACGTATTATGCGTTATTGTTGAAGACATAAGTTTTTACAGCTAAAATATAAAGAGCCAAGCTTCATGAAAAATAACAGTCTTGAGATATTTCTCACGCAGCCTGTATGGTCATGAAAATAATGTTTAAAAATGATCTCAAGTAAACTTTTATTGGCTTTATTGATGAATTTTGCTTTATTGCAAAAATTATGGATTATTTGTTTACGAAAGCAATGCTTTATACTTACCAGAGGCAAGTCCACCCACGGATAAGATTACAGAAGTGGTCGACATTGATACCGTAAAGTTGAATGTCGCAAAAAATGTCGTGATCACCGCAATAACTGTTGATAGCAGGAAAAACTGTCGTGCCGAAATAATTTCTTCTGAAAATATATTAAGCCAAACATTTGGTCAAGGAATAGGAATTCTGGTTGCACATTCATTAACTCAATAAATAGAAGAAAGAAAAACGGACTCCCTAAAATACGCTCGTAACGACAACATTGAAAATGTTGCAGACTCGGTTTGATTGAGCCTGATCATGGGCGGGAGTGGTAAATTTAAGCTACCGTTCACGCCCCCTTGCACCGGCTTAATCAGAATTATATATTCAATATATAAACATGAATATGGCAGAATTTTGAATTTGGAAAAGTCTGCAGATGTGGTCATACGGCGGTTATCACAGAGCCTTCCATGTAAAACGTGAATGCCATTCCATGTCAAGCGGTGAGTGTTCCCCAAGTAAAAGAATACGTTTGACTAACCGAGAAAAGTCAGTTGAAGATTTAAAAAGTTATAAATCCCATAACATTATATAACAATAACAAAGTATTTTAGTAATGAATGACATTATATGAACAATAACGTACCAAAGTATGTAGAAGTAAAGAGAGTTGCAATTTTGTTTATAAGATCCGCGTGTTGGAACAGTTCGGAGATTACAATTTAAATCAAATGATGATTTCTATGATGTTAAATTTGAGCCATGTCATGACAAAACCAACGTTATGCGTTTGCAACTAGCATGGATCCAGTCTGATCAGGATCAATGCTGTTCGCTTACAAGTTTTACAAGTAAAAAAACTGATAGTGAACAAAAAAACTGATAGTGAACAGCATGGATCCTGATCAGACTGCGCGGATGCATAGGCTGGTCTTGATCCATGCTGGTCGCAAACGCATAACGTTAGTTTTGTCATGACGCGGGTCATTTATTTTTTTTAATTTTATTGAAGATAGACCGTGACGTGTGTGCTGAATAATATATATACGAAATTCTTTCTCACCCTGTATTTTACTTAGCAACGGAAGAGGAGCAAATACATTTGGTGCTAGTTCAATGTCAAGGTCAGCACAATAAATGCCATCTTCTGTGCATAGATATGTCTGCCAAAGTCCAACATGCATGTGTATCTCATTTTCAATTCTAAATATAGAATTATAGTCCTCGTATCTTTCCACGTGATCTTTTTCTGTTACACTCCCGTACAAAGAATGTTCTGCTCTTCTATGAATAATATTCATGGAAACGTCGTTGACACTTGCTTTATCATCGAGGGCCCCATATTCTTTCTCAAGCAAAGTTCCTATAGTAAATATGATTTTGCCACAGTTTGAACATTTATTCAGATCTATTTTTAATATATACCATGATTGGCTATTGAGTGAAATGCATTTCATCAACAAAATAACATAAAAACATATTAATGCCAGAAGCGTTGTTTTTAATGATTTTCCTCTTGCGTCCATTATTATGATACCTATCATTGATCGATATATATTGATATACACATACACGTGTTATGCGCTTATTTGAAATGTCGGTATTACTATTTATAGCTATGCTGGACCTGCTGTACCTGCTGGACCGTCTATCAGGAACTTTCCATAACGCTGTTGTAGAAATGACTTAAGTTCAGGCAAATCGATGTCAGCATCCTTCTCTTATCTGTGAAAATAATATATAAAATGAAAAGAACATGTGTGTTGTTTGAACTAAAAGATGTTGTAGTTAAGTTAGAAAATACATTTAAAAATGTATGAAAGAATCTATATATATACACATACACCTGTGTTTGTCATGAATAGTTTAAGCAATGCCGTCAGTAATTTGTAAAATGTCAGATTGGACGAATTTATTTGGAACACAAGCATTTATCAAATCTTTAAATCTCCAAAACTTTTTTTCGTCTGATTAAAACATATAAAGTCCACAACTTTATCATTTCAAACGTACTCCGAACACGCGGGATGTTGCATCAATCGTGATCAAACGGAAGTTATTTAATTATATGAATAGAATTGTGTTTCACATACGTTCATTTATCCACAATATTGATAAGCTTCTTCCCATATCAATTTAACAGCTGTTTCTTTACTGTTACCAATTACACCTGAAATGAATAAGAAACACATTTATAAATGTTTTCTAAGCGCGAAACGTTATATTTATATGTTTCCATATACATTCTTAGCGAAAGGATATTTATTCATGTGTTATTTTGAACAGATGTTTGCTGACGTATTGTTTTATAAAGTCGTTTTCAACCTAGCTTTATTGTTGGCGTGATTACTCCACATTGTGTCTAAAAATGATATACAGTGGCACACATGAGATCAACTGCCACCATAGTTATAAATTTTACAGCTCTTTAAATGTATGGTTGTGGTTCATGCCGCAATATTTCGAAAATAATTTAAGAGGAATAAACTATATTGAACTACAACTGCGCTGGAAAGTCGCCGTTTGAACTCACTTACTGATTGCGGTTTTGAAATTTTTAATGATATTCATGTATAATAAACATGTACTATTCTGTTTTTGTACTGGATTGACAATAAATATTTCAAGTTCACAATAAGAAAAAACCTTAACAACAATAACAAATATTGTCATTGACATACCATAGAAAGAGAAAGTGACCGAGGTCTCAATTCAAGAAATATAATTCCTGAAGCAAGGAAAAATGAAAATTGAAAGTTTCTGTCTAATGAAGATTCATCATGATGCGATAATAGTTTTGTTTATCGAAGTCGACTTGTAACACGGATATATCATAGCCTGCGACAACTTCACACTTGTATACCGAGTTGTTTCTTAAATGCAATCATTTTCTGTACTGAAATATCCTCAATGTCGCCTTTCACCCTCGTCGCGGTATTTCAACTTCAACTGATTGTATACTTTATAGCATTCATAAATCATATCAAAATTAATTTCTATGTTATTTCTAGGGTTGGTCAATATGTAATGCATTATTGTAAATGAATTAAGCAAAAGAGCAAATATTTTACAAAATTTTCTATTTCAACACTTCGAAATAATCTCATCCTACAGAAATACAAAGGTTAAGACAGTTACGAGGGATGATCAAAAATAAACTGGATTTCGACTGTCAATTCATGAATTTTACTCATTGTTATATATCACACTTAATTGGAAAACAATTTCTTGCATATTAGACTGGCGTTTCCGTTAGTTTTACCCATGCCGGAAATTTCATCTGGCATGGGGGGTTCCAGATGAGTCGCGTGCTGTACAATGGCACGATAAAGATGACGTCATTTTACCGTTATGAATGATTTTGTAATTCATACGCTGTTGAATGAAAGTAGTTACGGTTGTAATGATATAAATTTTCATTGAAAATAAAGATAAAGAATTTAAAATATAATGGAATATGGTAGAATATGCAAGAAAAAATATCTGACAGATGTTTGCGGTTCGGATCGTAATATCCGTCCCTCGGTCACCAGCCCATGGGCGGTAACTCGGCAAGCCTCGTTACCGCCCAATGGGCGGGTCACCTCGGGACGGATATTCCGATCCGAACCGCAAAATATGACAGATATTATTAACCTGTAACCTGATAACGCAGATAACTTGTCCGTAACAGCGAATTTATAAACCATAGTAACGCACATCCGGCGAAGTGCATAAATTTACGCTGACATCACGCGCTTTATGATGCGTATATTTTACAAAATGGCACATTTAGATTTCAAAATACACCAAAATGTCATGAGATATATCATTGACCTTGTCAGAAAAAATGACTTCATTTAAACCATATTTATATTTGCAATCACAATTCAAACGTCACTTGTTGTCGGAACGTCTGGAAAATCGGTCAATAAGAAAAGTTTGTCAAAAGTAAGGCGAGAAACTGTTTTAAACGTAAAAAAGATTATAGCTATCAAGCGAAAAGCTCCAGGCCACAGCATAGATTTGATTGGCATAAACCATTAAGAAAGGGTAATAGAGAAATGGAAAAAAAATAAGGAAGATTAAAAAAATGAACTTTTTAAGGACGTTAGTGACGTCAAGTGCCGAGACGTTAAAAAATGACAGTCAATTGATTCCGTACATTGTCAACGATGTTTGACAGTAGCTATGGGACGATTCCATGAACTCTAAGTAAGGATTACATTTGTTCACGCATTAATTACATATATTATACAACATTCTAAGTTTACATTTGTATTAATAATTGAATTATTTTTCGTTAATAGTCTTATAGAAATTGTGCTAAGAATTTAACAGTCACGATTCGAAATCGTCTATGCGTTTTATTTATTTAGGAATAACGACAATATTGTTTTTAGTTGTATTGTTCTTTTATTTTCTTGTAAGTACGATACATTATCATTCAGCGACATTATATTAATGCAATACATAATATAGTTCATTGAATGTGCGATTTTGTCCAGCAATCAATTTACAGAATTTTTGTCATTACAGGAGCTCTTTATCATCAGTCATTCTATAACAATACAAAATGATACCAACTTGTAAGGAGATATAGAACGGCAGTGGATTCGCCATCATCAACACTGACTGGCCTCCTTGAATGAGTACAATGCTGCTCCATAAAAGACAATCTGCTTTTGATGTCGTTAACGTCGATTTTAAAGTTATACCGTACGCTGCATTGCTTTGCAAGTACATGCCAATAACAGCATAACTTTTTAATTAATTTGTTAATATTTCTTGTTGGTATTTTTGTATCATTTAGGGGATAGATTCCATTCTATGTTCCGTGCATTTTTATGTAAATGCATATAACAGGTAAAGAATCATCTACATGGTCCGGTTAATTTTTTATCTACCATCGTATTTTCTTAACTTTGAAGTGATTCTTCAGAACCCTTTTGATATCCCTGTGACATGGGTTATCTAAGTCAGTGAATGTCTTGCATTTTTGTAAATTGACAAGCTTGACATTACAAATGGAACGTTCTGTAACATATTTTTCATATTTGTATGAAATTCTAAATCGGTTGACTACACACATGATTTTATTATCAATTGAAGCATAGCTTACCCAAACACATGAATCAGGAGCTTAATTATAAAATATACTTCATATTGCATTACATAATGACCACCCCTAGTTTGTCAAATATGTTATACACATAAAAGATATGTTCATCAATAAATAAATATTGTGCTATTTTGTATACCAAATTGATAATATTTGTAGCCTTTCACAGTTACGGATTATTATGCATCAAATATCTACATTTATGTCATTTCGTTTCATCAACCTTTCTATAATTTATATGTAATAATAAGATAATCTTTGTCAATATTTACAAACCTGTAGTCCGGTAAGCCACAAAGTAAAAACAGTCACAAAAACAACAACAACAAAAACGCACACATAAAATTATAAAATCCCTTGTTTACACATGCAACATGTACGATATCCCCCTAAATAGGTAAATAATAAACAATTTGCGCTATCTGTCATTTTGACAAAAAAGTTTCATTTCATTATAGCCTGTCAAAAATACACGGAAATACCGTTATCAATATTTGACAATTAAATAAATACCTTAGGGTGTTTTTTACATTTCTGTTCAAACTAATTGAATTGTTATTTATATATAAACTTCTAAAAAATGTCATGTAATAATAATAATAATAATCATAATAATGAATAATAATAATTTTAATAATAATAATAATATTAATAATAATGATAATAACAGTAATAATAATAATTATAATAATAATTATTATGAAAATAAATAATTATAATAAAAATACAATAATAGTGATGATGATGATGAAGGTGATAATTATGGTGATGATAATGGTGAGGATGATGATTAAGGTGATAATTATGGTGATGATTATGGTGATGATGATGATGATGAAGGTGATAATGTAGGTGTAGGGGAATCTACATAAGCAACTCATAAAAAATAATTAAATAAGAAATAAAATAAAAAATAAAGTAAATTAAGTTCAGGGGCAGAAAACGAGAAAGACCGATCGCGTCTTTGCGTCTTTCTATATGTAATTTCGATTTATAATTGCGATTTCAATTGTGCCTTTTTAAAATTACTATTTAGTATTTATATTGTTTTGGTTATTTGCCTTTTGAAAAGAAAACTTTAAAGATATCGTTTAATCATCAATCGATTAATTTAGTAATTCTTAAGTTTATGAAACTGTTTGTATATGGATATTACTCACCAAGTTAATAATTTCCAATAGTCCGAATGAAATAGTAAATTTCATGTTTATAATATGTAACTTTATTCAATCCTCATATGTTTTTATCGATCAAAATCGATTTATTGATAAGTCAGTTTAAATTAATTAAAAGACATGATAAAAAACACGTAATTTTCTTGTTTTCTTTTTACATGATGTAAACTTCCCAAGATTGTTTGTTTACGAAATGGGGTTTAAGATGACAATTTGAGATATATTAAAAATGTATAAAAGAATCTGTGCATGAACATTTTGGTAAGCGGCGTAAATGAAAGGATAATGCGTTATTTTCTATTGAAATATTGATTTTAGGCCTACTTACTTTTTTATTTTTGCTGATCAAAAGCTTTATTTATCTGTTTCCTCCAAGCATCAATAAGCACATCGATTTAAATTTAGATATCGCATAAAATTCGGCATATGTCGGATTAAAAGGTTTATAATATATTTTATTGGTGATGCGCGGATAGATCTCCGGCCGTCTTATATAAAACTCATCAAGTATGGTGTCATCCACGCCCATGCCCTTTTAATGTTTTTTTTCTTTCTCTCAAAATGGGTTTCTTTTTTGTTTTTTTTTTCCTAATTTAAGCGTACGATATATATATATCAGTGAATGTGCGCTGTATTTAGTGTTCAGTTTTTCTATATCATTTTCTCCATGGTTTTTAGAGTTCTGGTATTAAGCATGCTCAATAGAACGATGAGCAGTTATGGTGATCACGTGATATTTGTTTACGGTAGCATTGA